ATAATAATAATAATAATTCCAAACTTTTGACCAGTAATGTATATCATATACATCATATATAGATAAAATATAATTGTTTATGGTATATAATGTCACCATATACGTTGTCAATAGTGTTTTCCGAATTTTAGTATTTTTCTAGTTGGAGACTTTGTATCAGTTTGTATAATTTGTATTTGTATTTTTTATTTTTTTATAACTAAACATGAAAGTCCACCCCTAAACTTAATTCTCAGTGCGGCGTAAGCAGATATTACAAAAATGTATGAACTAGATTGTACAAATTTGCTACCAATTCATAAAAATGTAAGGTAAGTAAAAAAAAAAAGTTGTTGTGTTATGTTTGCATTCATTAAGGTTCATTAACTACTTACTTATTCTATAAAGAAAATCTGCAAAAACTGACCTATACCCTATTTTGCAGATCTGAAAGCTGCAACCCTCAGTAGACTACATTAGTAGTTCATCTCGGGTATTTTTTGTGTTCTTACACAGGCGTGGCTTTAGTAAATCACTGCCTGTAGCGTCTGGACCAATCAAACACACAATTTTTCATTTGATTTAACAAATCAGTTATTCATTAGATTAACAAATCGTCACAGTCCCCTCACCCAATAAACTGGATGCCAGGATGTCTGCAACGACACCAGCCCCCCCCGGTCCCCATGGCAACCACGACACCTCTCTCTGGCTAATTTGGTTCTTCAAGTAAATTTCCGGATTTGATTAAAATATCTGGATTAAGTTGTCTATCATTACTGCTCGTCCTCGTGTTCCCCGTAAAGGGCAGATGCATAGATATTTGAAACCACGATCAGCAATGCAGCGATTGGCTGGTGGCAAGACAGCAACGCAAACTCACAGAAATGAGAGAAGAGTGTGGATCAAAACAGTCTGATTAGCATGAACAAGCTGAATCTAATGGTGCTTTTCGTATGACTCAGCTCGGCTCGGTTTGCCTTTCCACTGCAGTTCAGTACCGCTTTAGAGTGGGCGGGATTATTCACTGCTCATTAACCTCAATTCAACAACAACAGCACTGTGCTTGATTTGTTGCTTGGAGAAGTATTTTTTACCTTCATGTGAGACTCGTAGAATACACACAGTTTGTGAAGGCCAAATTACCTCACTAAATCATATGCCAACTGTTATTAAAAACGTACACATATTTCACATATTCACTCTATCATGCACGTGTAATTTGAAGGTAGAGTAACATTTCAGGAGGGAAAAGGGTGTGAAAAACTTATGAACATTCTTTAATGAGTTCCTGAGAGATTTTCAGACATAGCTTGGTTTTTCTTAACTTGGTTTTATAAAATATATAAATATCATATTTTATCCATGATATAGATGTATTACTGGATTTTTAAACCCTTGTCACCATTATCCCTCTTCAGAACATGTTTCCTTTGGTAATTAATTCCAATTGTTAAAATGTCAGAGAAAGAAACATGAAAACCATAGTCATTTTAATGCAAACAGTAGATGACAGACTAACACAACTGAATCACTAAACCTCAGTATTATAATAAATAATAATCTAATATAAATTAAATTCCTGGGAATACAAATTTAACATTATATATATATAGTGTGTGAGTGAGTGTGTGTGTGTGTGTGTGTGAGCCCAGTTAAAACTAATGTTTCTATTGAAAATAATGTTTCTAACATCTACAAAAACATTGTTTAAAATGTATTAATTGCACCAAGCAAACAGTGCTAATTTTGAGGCGCAATCTGTAATAAACTTAATCTACAGAAAAAAGACTGATAATTGCTTAATTTGCATAAATACTCATGGCACAGCACAATTTAATTTCAACGCAGTTGGCGCCTGGTTAAACTGGTTTGCAGGTGGTTTGTGTTTTAATATGCAGATGTTGTGCTGAATACCTTGCAGCCTTTACATGCATGTTTTTGTTCTGAGTTAATTTTGTACCATGTGTATTTATTGTCAGTGTGACATGTTTCTGTCTAGTTTTTATATATTATCTTGTCAGGGCCCATTACTTTGTATCTCTATAAAATACAGACATCCATCATTGTCCAAAAATAATAGATAGAGAGGGAGACAAAAAAAAGTGTTGCCTGGTCCAGTCAGCAGTGTTGATTTATAACTGGGGTATTAAGCTAAACATAATCTCAGTCTTGCTGCAGGACACTCAGTGATTTATGGACATTTCATCTGCCTGTAAAAACTGAAGCAGATATAGAAGAACATGTCCACCAACCAGGACAGCCCGATGCGCTTAGTGATGGACAAGACAATAACAGAACTCCTCAGACTAGACACACAAACACAGTTTGTGACTATTGTATTGCATACTGTGTACTGTGATATTGCATTTCTTTGCATACAAATAAAATAATACCTGTATTTTAAGTTGAATTGTACATTGCATTATGTATAATATTGGGAATATTTAAGCAAAACAAATTTCATAATCAGCATTTTAAGAACAATCTTAAAATAAGCACACACTACTGTAACAGAAGTGCCAGGCTCCCTCACCACTCAGTCACAATGTGCACCTTCACTTGAGAATTATTCACCCACACCTGATCTGATCTGGATTGCAATTAGCTACCACATATAAACATACACCTTCCACTCAGTCACTGTCTGGTCTCACACTGAGCTTCGGACTGCTTGCCTGTGTTAAATGGTGACCATGATTTCACCAAGCACAACAGCATTCCAATTAACCAATCAGAATTGAGGGATAACTTTTCAGTAAATATCTGTTTTAGGCTTACTAACAGGGTTAGGTGCTTCTACACCCTTGTTAATCAGCTATCATTTCACACTGATTTTAGGAATAAATTATGGGTAGGGCTGTGTACTGTGATATTGCATTTCTTTGCATACAAATAAAATAATACCTGTATTTTAAGTTGAATTGTACATTGCATTATGTATAATATTGGGAATATTTAAGCAAAACAAATTTCATAATCAGCATTTTAAGAACAATCTTAAAATAAGCACACACTACTGTAACAGAAGTGCCAGGCTCCCTCACCACTCAGTCACAATGTGCACCTTCACTTGAGAATTATTCACCCACACCTGATCTGATCTGGATTGCAATTAGCTACCACATATAAATGTACACCTTCCACTCAGTCACTGTCTGGCCTAACAGGGTTAGGTGCTTCTACACCCTTGTTAATCAGCTATCATTTCACACTGATTTTAGGAATAAATTATGGGTAGGGATTGGGTTTAGTCTATATTTTTGGACAGTAATGTTGATCACAGTATCAACAAAAGATGTTGATCCAGGAACATGTCTTACTTGGCAAAATCACGGCGACCGTGTTCCATGTGTATTTCCAGCATTCATCCTAGCCTGTGCTCCTTCATTGTCTCCTGTGTTCCTCTTCCATCTCCTCGAATCATCCTCCCTGTGTGTATGCTCCTTACCTGGATACTTACCGGTCTCACAAGTGGTGTGCGCTCCATCCTCTGCCCAGCATCCACAATCTCTCGACCACCTGCAAGGACAGTATTCCATTTATCTCTCAGTATCGTCAGTTTTCTGCTTAATATATCGCTGTAAATTAATTATTTGACCTGACCTCTGCCACTTCTGTTACAGAAGACCAGACCTATATATTGACATCAATGCGTCAAGGGATCCTTTTCAAGAGATCATGGAGGATCTCAAATGGGCATTGAGTTCCTCCACTTCTGCACCACCATTCATTACTTCTCCTTCTTCTCCCGTTCTCGCCAGTCCTATGGCCAGTCCAGCACCCAACTCTTGCTTGGCGAAGGATTGCAATGGATTCTTCCTGCAGTGTTTGTTGGCCCTGGAGATGCAGCTGCATCGGTTTACCATAGAACGGGCAAAGATCGCTTTCATCATTTCAATGTTGACCGGGTGAGCGCTCCAATGGGCCCAAACTATCTGGGACCAAGCAGGACCAGTTACTCAGTCCCTGGAGGGTTTCGTGAGTCACTTTCGTGAGGTTTTTGGCCGACCAGCTGGCAATTCCTCTGTGAGTGAACAGTTATATCATCTTCGTCAAGAAAAGATGTCAATCTCTGATTATGCTTTGAGGTTTAGAACCCTCACAGCTGCCAGTGGCTGGAATGAGCGATCACTCATTACAACCTGTCGACAAGGACTGAATCCCAGATTGCGGCTGCATCTTGCTACTTATAGTGACAACATCGGTCTCGAGAAGTTCATTCAGCTCTCTATTCAAGTGGCCCATAGTGTGCAGCAATGTATTGATAAAATGCAGGGCCAACGCACCACTTCTCTTCTCAGCCTGCCAGAGTATGCTTCTGCTCTAGTACCAGATGTGGAACCCATGCAATTATTAAACACCCGATTACCATTCACCAAGAAGCAGAGGCGTACCCCAGGGTCTGTGTTTATACTGTGGTTCTGGAGGACATGTAATTAATACATGTACCATTTGTGGCATGTCCCTTGGTGAGTTTCCTCCATGATCCATCCTTACTGTTCCTGGTGTGTCTGTGTCTGTTGCAGCTCTCATCGACTCTGGGTCAGCCGGAAACGTTATCGCAGGGAGCTTCTGCCATCAACTCAAGCTCCAGAAGAGGAACATCCCAAACCACTACCAAGTCCAATCAGTGATCGGCATACCCCTCAGTAGACAGAATATCCAATTCAGTGTAGGTCCCATTCAGATGTGGGTCAGAATCCGTCATGAAGAGACCATCTCCTTTCTGGTTCTGGAGCAGTCAACTGTGGATCTCATTTTGGGTCACCCTTGGTTGAGTCAACACCAACCCATAGTATTTTGGAAGACCGGTGAAACACTGAAGTGGGGCGATAGCTGTTTCCCGGATTGTTTCCTTCGAGTTCCTCCTCAGCGCTGTCAAGTGCCACCAGTGTTGGCTGTCCAGTATACATCGATTTAAAGTCCATTGGCCATGGGACTGTGCAATTGACCTCATACCGGGTGAGCCAGTGTCCTGTGGCAAGATTTAGCCACTCTCCATCCCTGAACAGAAGGCCATGGATGAGTACATTGAGGAGGCATTACAGCAAGGTTACATCTGCCTGCCAAAGTCCCCTGCTGCTTCGAGCTTCTTTTTTGTGACCAAAAAGGATGGAGGCTTGTGGCCTTGCATTGACTACAGAACTCTCAACAAGATAAATGTTAAGTTCCGCTATCCCCTTCCCCTCATCCCTGCTTCTCTGGAACAACTCCATGGTGCCACCATATTCACCAAGTTGAACCTCCACAGTGCATACAACCTCATCTGGATATGCAAGGGGGATGAGTGGAAGACTGCATTTGTGACCTCTACAGGCCACTATAAATATTGGGTTATGCCATATGGCCTGGTCAATGCTCCCTCCGTGTTCCAGGATTTTATGCATGAGGTGCTCCGGGATTTCCTCCACAAGTTTGTTTTGGTGTACATTGATGACGTCTTGGTGTATTCCTGGAGCATGGCGGAACATCGCCAGCACGTAGCGGAGGTCTTGCAAAGCCTGAGAGAGTTCAAGCTCTTCCTCAAAGATGAGAAATGTTCCTTCCATCAGTCCTCAGTGTAGTTCCTTGGTTATCATATCAGCAAGAGCGGTATCCAGATGGACGAGGGGAAGGTTGATACCATCCGAAACTGGCCCACTCCCACAACCATCAAAGAACTCCAATGTTTCCTGGGGTTTAACAACTTCTACCGCCGCTTCTCCAACAACTTCAGCTCCATAGTCCATCCACTCACTAGTCACCAAGTCTCTGTCCTGGTCACCAGCTGCCATTCAAGCCTATGAAGACATTCACCACTGCACTGGTCCTCGAGGTTGATGCCTCAACCATTAGTGTGGGAGCGGTGCTGTCTCAGCAGCATGGGGATCCCTCCACACTTCTTCCATGTGCCGTCTTCTACAGAAAACTCTCCCCCGGCAGAGATGAATTAACAAGAATCAAGATAGAGCTTTGATTTTTGGTCTGTGTTCTTCCAGTTTGAAGACACATTCCAATTATTCACAGTTACTACCAACGTAGGGTTGCATGGTTTACTGGTACTACGGTAGTATCGCAATACTAAGCCTCCAAAATACTGGCGGTGCCACTGTATTTTTTAAACGGTAGTATCATCATTACAGTTATACCGTAAGTAATTTTGTGCCCACTGAGCAAAAATAGACTAGGCGCTGAAACGATCGCTGCATTGGCACTTCAGCTCTGCTCCTGCTATGCGCTGCCGTGCCACCTCTGCGTGCTGTGTGAATACTCTAACCTGTTATCATGGGCACCAAAAAAATATATGCACTGCTTACAAGTTGTATCATCAAGTTATATCTACTTACACTTAATATCACTTATGTTGTGTTCATGCCAACACGACAGAAAACAGAAACCGAGAGTCTTTAGGTGTGTACAGATTGATGATCTTCAGTCTTGTAGAGCTTGGCTTTATGTTGCCAATAAACTTCAACTGTGAGCTTTGAACAGTGAGAAACATCTAATCAAAGACTGGCAACCAATCTATAATGGAAAAGAAAAAGTGATAGGTCTAACTAAACAGATATTCCTGAGCCCATCCATTTGAGACAAAGCTTGGGTCGTGAGAGTTATTAACCCCAACCATTTAAGCAAAATCTAGTGAAGGACTTCTCGGCACTAAGGCAGATTAGCCTTTAGCCTGGATAATATTGCACTGTGTCTTTCTCAACGCTTTGCTTCCGAAAGTCTTGGACATACATCTCGACTATTGATTGGTGAGTGCTTTAGAGCTCTAATTGCGGTGCAGTCTTGTTTTTCTTAGACAGTAATAAGTTACACACAAGAATAAAGATGCATCTCCTAACATCGATTTGATGAAATGTACACCACCAGCATAATTAACGAGACAATGCATGAAGATCAATAAGCTATTTTCCTTGTAGCTATTTGTTTATTTATTTATTTGTTCATTTATTTATAGTTGAGAAGAAGAAAGGTGCTGTGACTCCATGTTAGATCTTGTTTTCACGTCTTGGTGCTCATCTGAGAGTAAGCTACTGCACTGTTAAAAAAATAAATGAATAAATAAATAAATACATTTATATGTGTCTTGCTTCCCAGTAAAATCTAAAACAATTAAATTTACTTTAAAGGTAAAATTGCATCATGTTACATTTCAGAAAGATTCAAGCTTAAAATAAATGAATTAATTAAAGGGGTCATATGACGTTGCTACAAAAGATTTTAAAAAGATTAAAAAAAATATTTGGTGTAATGAAATGTGTTTATGTGGTTTAAGGTTAAAAAAACACATTATTTTCCACATACTGTACATTATTGTTTCTTCTCTATGCCCCGCCTTTCTGAAACACATCGATTTTTACAAAGCTCATCGTTCTGAAAAGCGAGGTGTACGCTGATTGGCCAGCTATCCAGTGCGTTGTGACTGGCCGAATACCTCAAGC